CGTCCCAGGCCCCCCCCCCCCCGGCATCTGATTGTGCCGGGGATCAACTGCGCAGTGGCTCGGGGGATCTGTCTGATGCGTCTATTTTGATGCGGCTCAGAAAAGCCACGCTTTGGCCGTGCCTCCCCCCCCCGTGTGACCGGGGCCAAAAATGGGTATTTTGGGGGCAGACACAACCCGTCTCAATTAACCAAATATAATATTGCCCTAATTCAATTGTTTTTGTCTCCTTGGAAACAGCTTCAAAAAGCTGACCAGTTTATCCAGTTCCGCAGGGCCTGAAAGACGGAGCTCTTCTGCCAGGCTTTTGCATAGGAGCCCCCACCACCACTGTACCACCACCGAGCTGCCATCTTTGACGGTGGGTTCGATCTGGATGTGAGCTGGCCCTGGGAAGACGACCAGACGACCTGAAGAACTGGTCATGAAGGGACGATAGTAATAGATTCCTGAACTTATACTGATGGCTTAGGCCGGTCAACGGAACCCAATCTTGGACCGATAAGAACTAATATCAAGAGCGCTGGCACTTTGGTGGGAGGGATTGTTTTATTCTGTTTTTAGCTGTTCAATCATGGCATATGCCTCTTTGTTAGCCGCCCCGAGCCCGTTTGGGGAGGGCGGGATATACATTTAATAAATAAATGATAAGTAATCAATCCTGCTAGAGTAAACACACTGTGCCATTAAAAAAAACCTAAAGAATATCATGTACATTTTTCCACATGAAAAATCAAGACAACCCCCCGCCGCCACCCCCCACTTTCAGATACGCCTTCTGTAGCTTCTGCAAATCTCAGTAACCCCCTAATGGAGATGTTTTCTCTTGCTCTGGTACAAACTCATTTCCCTGAATCCAGGCCGATATAAGACATCGTGGCCAAGGTCCTCTGCTGTTCATACTCCACCAATAAGAGACCATTGATCTGCTGGATCTCAGACGGTAACGAGGGCAAGAAGGGGTCACTTCAACAGCCAAACCCCCAAAAGGTCTGCCATCCAGTAGACTCACCCATCACACCGAGCTTGTACCCAAACATGAGCGCGATCCCAATGGGCAAGCCGATGGCATAGTAGCCAACAGCATTTGCAATGGCACCGATCTTCTGCTTCCCTGCTCCTCTTAGCACCCCACCACACGTTGCCTGAAGAGAAAGGGAAACAAGGAGGAATTTCAGATAGGCGATATATTCCGGAAGAGGAACAGTTATGGTAGACCATGATGATCAGTAGCCTTCCACACAGTCACACAAAACCACTCTACCCAGACCAGCCTGCCACTCACCAGCCTCAACCTGATGCCCTGATCTGAACCTGCTGTCCAATGGGGTAATTGTTTCCAGGGACCAAACTGACAACCCCCTCACCTTCTCCTGACTTGTCTTTTGGCATGGAAGGGTTAGCAACATAGCTCTCACCAATCGGTGATGCCCTGATGTCCCGCTGGAAGCCGCTGTCCAATGGGGTAATTGTTTCCAGGGGGCAGATGTATTCCAATAGGGTTGCTATACCACTGTCGCGTTATAGCGTTATAGCGCTATAAATCGAACGTTTTTTTAAAAAAATCACCCGCGCAGGAGGAAAACGGCGGGAAAACAAAGCTATCAGCCGCTTCTGATCCGGCTCTTTTCCGGTAGGGGAAAGCCCTGTGTGAAATGGCAGCCCTGTACCGGTTCACTTCAAAATGGATCATTACTGGCTTGAAACCGGGTGAAACTGGGTAATGTGAAATTCCTCAAGGTTTGCTGACAGCAACTCAACAGGTTCCCAAACTGTGGTGCCGGAAGAAGAAACACAAGTCTTGTGAGCAAAAATACTACTTTGTGAACTACTGGCATTAAAGTTGTGAGCGAGCGACTTGGCCACGAAGACAAAAATGTGTGAGCCGGAGGCTAAAAAACTGTGAGCTAGCTCACACTAACTCAGCTTAGAGGGAACATTGCCTGTGAGCCCAGAGTACTTGACCACTGTCTGTCTGCACAGGTTTGTAACAATAAGTGGGCATTTTGGGGCAAAGCCCTCCCAGGAACATGTCATGTTCCACCACTGAATTAATTTGAATTTAAAAAAACAAAAACCAAGCCCACTCTGGCCCTTTCCATTACAGAGATATAAGAGGAAATGTGAAAACAGTTGTCAGGATTGTCTGGGAAAGAGAAGGGGAGGGGTGTTTGCAAGAGGGCTGGGGCTGAGTCAGTGAACCGTTTCCTGACCAAATTAATCCTCCTCTCCTCTGTAGCATCTCCCTTTCTCTCTAGGCCCTTTGCTTTTGTTCTGCATTCCACGACATCTGTAGTGTTAAGTGAGGCAGAAGAAAAGTCCAGTGGAGCCTGAGTGGTGGGTGTTGCCTTCTGACACACTTCCGGTGATGTCAGGGAGTGTGGCACATGCAAATAAGTTATGCTAATGAGTTATACTAATGAGCTCCTGCACCTCTTTTTCTACAAAATGACCCCTGTTCAGGCCTCTCCTTATAGGAAAGTTGTTCCAACCCCCTATTAGTTTTCATTGTCTTCCTCTGGACTTTCCCCAGCTCTGCAATATCCTTTTTGAGATACAGTGACCAGGAAGTCCTACACAATTACAATCTGGGTCTTAAAAGAGACGTCCCATTGTCACTTGAGCAACACGACGGATTCCTCGAGATAGCCAGAGGTTGCGTGGCTCGCACACCAAAGCAAAGCAGAGCAAGGAGAATGAATTATTCAGGAGAAGTAAAAAAGAGAACACGTTATGTTAAATGATGTTACAAGTCAGGGAAACACACGCTGCAACATTCCGCCACTCACGCTGCTGTCTCGAAACTTACTGCCATGGCATCCAAGAGGTGGAAAGGAGAGAAGATTATCATCACTTTGGAGACCAAGGCCACGATGTCTCTGCCGGGAAGGAAGGGAAGAAGGAGGTAAGGCAGACAGACAGATCCCAGCAGGAACTGGGGTGGAATCGATCGGCAGCAAATTAATGACCCCGATGATGTTCGGCTCTTTAATTCGACAGGGAACCCGGCCGGGGGTTCAGTGCGTGCATTTGGACTGCTGCGTTCCACCAAACTGTGCCATCCGTAACCCAGATTTCCCAACTGCTCACGGCAAGCAATCACAGCTCCACCCACGGATCCCAGCCACAAGAAGCAGACAGGGCCGTTTTCTTCGTTTCTTTACATTCCCATCAGCCACACAGCAGTCACGGCTTCTTGCACGTCTCTGAACACCCCTCTGATGCAAGCACAGCACTTGAAAGATGCACTGATTTCAAGGGACAAATTTTTGGCACAAAGAACAGGAAAGTGGCGTGAAAGTAAGGAACTGCAGGTCTGTTTCTTGCAAATGAAAGAAGGACATCGAAACGGGGTTGTTTCAATCACACCATCTGGCTTTCAGAGCCCTAAAGGCACAAGCGGAGAATACACAGAAGAGCCAGAATCAGGCCCTCCAAGCCCCAAAGAACGTCCCAGTCACATTTGGGGTTTAAGCCTTTCCTATACATACTGTTTGCCTGATATACACTATTGTTCCCCCGCCAACTGCTATCTGCCTGCAGAAGAGGAGGAGGAGGAGGAGGAGGAAAAGAACAGGAGGAGGAAGAGAAGGAGGAGGAGAAGGAGGAGGAGAAGAAGAGGAGGAGGAAAAGGAGGAGAAGAGGAGGAGGAGATTGGATTTATACCCCGCCCTTCACTACCCAAAGGAGTCTCAGAGCGGCTTACAAACTCCCTTCCCCTCTCCACAACAGGCACCCTGTGAGGTAGGTGAGGCTGAGGGAGCTCTTGACAGAAACTGCTCTTTTTCAAGGACAGCTCTTATCAGAGCTACGGCTTGCCCAAGGTCATCCAGCCAGGTGCAAGTGGAGGAGTGGGGAATCAAACCCGGTTCTTCCAGATTAGAGTCCGCGCACTTAACCACTACACCAAACTGTACACACATATACTATATGACTAAGTTGCAGCTGGGAGCCGGGGGGGGGGAGTGCCTGGGAAGAGCTTTAAAAATGGTGCAGGGAGAGGTTACCCCCATAATCCCTCTCATCCATACACCCTGCTTCCTGCACTAAACAAACACCTCTCCCATGGTTATCTTGAACTCCGGCTTGTTATTTAGTTGGAACCTTCCGCCTCATGCCTCTTGGACTGGAAAGCTCGGCACAGAGACTCACACACAGAGACCCAGCTTGCAGCCTCTGCAGGTAGGAATGCTGGGCCCATGGGAATCTTGAATGATTTAGGATGATTTCTCGGGGCCCGCTGGCAGCTCTCCCCTGCACGTAGTTCGAGAGCCCCAGGAACAAAAAGTTACTCACTCATCATCGGTAAAGATGTAAGCAACAATATCCTTCAAGCTGGCTAAAAGGGCAGCAAACACAACAGCAAAGACCCCTGGAAGAAAGAGACAGATGGACACAAGTGAGAACGATCCACTTGAGACCACAGATGGGTTTTGCAGAGGTGTTCACGGTCAGCATCCTGATCGACATAGAAAGGATACCAGTGCTCACCACCCCCACCCCAGTTGTGTCTTGTGCAGGGATGCACAAACCCATCCCCTTTTCACTGTTTTTGTACGGGGTGAGAAATCCAGCAGCATCCCTAATCTTATGCAACACTCTCCCTTTAAGGCCCAACCCATCCTTAAGACAGCTCCGCCCACTACTGGGATGGCAGATGCTGCCTTAAAGACACACACACCTGCACAAAGTAATACTGTGATACATGATCTTTTGGCTTGCTCTACATCTCCAGCTCCCAAAGCGTTGCCAACTCGGACACTGGCCGCCACGCTCATGCCTTGAGGCAGCTGAGGAAGCAAAAAGAGACAGGGATTGTGTACGTTCCAACAATAGGAAAATATGGTTAAGATGGTATACCTCCTTGAAGGCAGGTGTAACAGGACATTGTTTTAAAACATGTTTTTGGTGGTATTGTAACCCGGACAGACTACCGAAGATTCCTGCAAAGTCTTAACTCTGTTGGAAGTATGGCAAAGACAAGGCCACTCTGATCCACAAGTGGTACGGCTGTGAAAAACTCAAGATTTTGGGATTATGGTGCCTAAGGAGGTAACAAATATGGTATCTGTATCTGTCTACATCACATGCACCAGCTGGCCCTCTATCTCGATGGTGCAGATCTTTCCATGCTGATCCATGCCGCTGTAATCCTGAAACTAGACTACTGCGATGCATTATACATGGGGCTTCCCTTGAAAACTGTTCAGAAACTTCGGTTGGTACACAACGCTACTGCTAGAGTACTGACCAGTTTAAGCCAGAGTGATTTATTATACCTGTGCTTCAGCAGCTTCACTGGATATCTATTTGCTTTGGGGCACAATCCAAGATGCATTTACTATAACATTGACCTAAGCTTGATAAACCCAGGCTAGCTCGATCTTGTCAGATCTCGGAAGCTAAGCAGAGCCGGCCTTGGCTAGTATGTGGATGGGCGACCTCCAAGAGATACCAGGGTCATGACGCAGAGGCAGTTAATGGCCAACCACTTCTGAAATGTCTCTTGCCCTAAAAAAAAGAGTCTAGCTTGCCATCTAGAGGAGCATAACGCTATAAAGAGCTAGAACTTCTGGCTGCCAGGCAATCTTAGGATCTCTTAGCAATTCTACATACAATGCCACATGGTTATTATTATTACTATAACATTTACATCTATGCATGCAACATAGTCTCCTGAGGAGACTTACAAACCTCCCATAACAAAATCACAATTTATGTACAAGCCAAGAAAATGTAACAATGCAATAAAAATAAACTTCAGAAGCACAATCAACAGTATCAACATCACCAATTAGTGGGAGGGAGGAATCACAGTAAAATAAGTAGATTAAGGTGGGCTGAAGCAATAGAACAAAATTTGAGTCCACTGGCTCCTTTAAGACCAACAAAGTTTAATTCTGGGTATAAGCTTTTGTGTACCCAGAGTTAAACTTCACTAGCCTTAAAGGTGCCACTGGACTCAAACTTAAGTAAAATGAGTAGACGGTACTAAAAATAATGAATTCAACAGCAATAAAAGGTGCAAAAAATAGCAACAGGTAAAAAGGCAGTTTAAAAAACCCCACAGTTGATAAAAGATGATAAAAGACTGAAATGTTAATAGCCGGCCAGATCAAACGCATGTCAACAGCAAGCACGGGTGCAGAGGAATGTTTCCATCTGGTATGGAAAAGTTTTGAGAATCTTGGTGCCACAGATGGAGGTGTGAGGAGAGAGTTCCAGAGCTGGGGAGCCACAGCTGAAAAGCCCCTGTCACAAGGCGGGGGTACCCAGAGAAGGACCTCCCAGGAATATCTGCAGATCCACAGAGGACTGGATCCCTCAATGGCTGCTGGCCACAAAAGAGAAATGGACCCAACCCCAGTGCAAATTCCAAGTGCCGGGGCAGAGAAAGAGGACCGTCACCATCACAATCTCCCTTTCTGGAAGTGTCTTGGTTGGCTGCTGTTTCAAAGGGGACGGTGCGCTAGACCGATCTTTGGTCAGACCCAGCAGGGCTCTGCTTACGATCTGATGTGCTGCCACAGAGCATAGCTTGGGGACAGCAAAAATACTGAGACTGTGGCAAACGCAAACACGCTGCTTTCTGGAAAACAAAAAATGCAAAAGGGGGGGGGGGAGGAGACAGTAATGTCTGCAGCCTTCCCTTGGTGATATATCCTGGTTTTCAGCTGGCAACTTGGCTCCCAAAGGGGCTTGCGTCTAATTTTTAATAATGATATGAATTAAAATGTAATTTAGAAGATGGATAGGGAAGTGGTCTCGGGTACGATGGGAGAGGGACGTATCTGCTGCTGCCTCCCCTCGCTGCCACAGGAAATGGTGGCATCTACAAGCATTGCCGGCTTCAAGAGGGGATTGGATAAACTTATGAAGCAGGGGTCCATCAGTGGCTATTAGCCACAAGATATAGATGGAGCCATCTGCCTGGGGCGGTGATGCTCTGAATTCTTGGTGCTTGGGGGAGCAACAGTGAGAGGGTTTCTGGAGTTCTGGCCCCGCTGGTGGACCTCCTGATGGCACCTGGGTTTTGGACATTCTGTGATACAGAGTGTTGGACTCGACGGGCCATTCCAACATGGCTTCTCTTATGTCTAGGGCAGTGATGCTCTGTATTCTTGGTGTTGGGGGGGGCCACAGTGGGAGGGCTTCCAGAGTTCTGGCCCCGCTGGTGGACCTCCTAATGGCACCTGGGTTTTGGGCACTGCGTGACACAGAATGTTGGACTGGATGGGCCATTGACCTCATCCAACATTGGCTTCTCATATGTTCTTTTGTTCTCCCTCTAACCTAAACTTTAACAGACCAGATCATAGACCAAAAGAGGAATACAGCCAAAATGGAAGACAACCACCTGGGCAAGCTGAGCTCTTACCAGGTAGGCGACGGTGGCCAGCTCGTAGATGATTGACTGGGCTCCCAATTCCACCACGCTAATCATTCCTGGGTGGGGTGGGGAAGAGGCAAAAGATGAGGAATTATGCAGGAGCCCTCTGCACACACAAACACACAAACTCAGTGGATTGGAGAGGACACATTAGGAGGCCGTTCACACATGCATGTTCATCTCCTGGTGACTGCACTTCTAGAGGGGACTCGCGCGGGTGAACAAACCGCCCAGGATCTAACGGGCACAGACAGAACTCCGCATGTTAAGAGCCCACTGGGTTGTGTGGCATCAAGCAGTGAGTTTACATGCATGCGTGAACTGGTCCACGGGTGAACAAACCACCCAGGATCTATCGGGCACAGACAGAACTCCGCATGTTGAGAGCCCACTGGGTTGTGTGGCATCAAGCGGTGAGTTTACATGCATGCGTGAACTGGTCCCGAGTATCTCTGGAGTTAATAGTCTGGTCACCAGCAACTTTCTGGCAGGCTTCACAAGGTACCTAGTGGGTTGCCGACACCTCTGCTTCATCCAAGCCTCTCAGATCTTTGATAGAAGAGCCACACATCAAACTAAAGTGAATTTAAACTGGAGGGTCTCCTCACCGTTCCCGCCCCCCCAGCTGGTGGCCTTTTGGTGAGAGAAGGAGGAGGAGGAGGAGGAGAAGAAGAGTTGGATTTATACCCTGCCCTTCACTCGGAGTCTCAGAGCGGCTTACAATCGCCTTCCCTTCCTCTCCCCACAACAGACACCCTGTGAGGTAGCTCTTGAGAGAACAGCTCTGAGAGAACTTATGACTGACCCAAAGCCACCCAGCTGGCTGCATGCGGAGGAGTGGGGAATCACATCCTGATTAGAGTCTGCCGCTCTTAACCACTACACAAAACAGGAGTATTTAAGAGTATTACCCACTCAGAGCCCACCCACTGTGCTTCTGCATGAATCCCTGTACTCCTGACCGAAAAGAGGTTAACCCAGAACAGTGATTCATCCAGAGATGCAACAGGAAGCATCCTCCAAAGGGCTGGTCATTCAGTTGCATCAGGCTGCGTAACTTATGCACTGCATCAAAAATTACCCACAACAAGCAAAGGACAGCTGGAGGTGAGCAGACCTAGAGCAGGGACTCACACAGAGATAAGAGACAGCTTCTACGGCAGGGTGTTATGGGCTTGGGTGAGTTTTTTAACCACATGATTAAATGTGGGGATACGTTCCACACCACTCTGCGCAAAGCTGGCCCTGGATCTCGTTGGGCGCAGCAAAAGGGAGACGCAGAGGTGGGGCGTTGCTTAATTTAAGGCCTCACCTGACAGGAAGCTCCCGATTTCAAAGGTCCACCACTCGATGCACATCATCAGCATGCTGGGGATGGCCAAACGCATGAAGGCGCCCCATTCCTGCAAGCAGTCCAGCGTCCAGCCTGCACACAAAAGACCTTTTTTCCCTTTTTGGAATGTTTGCATTTGTGTTTCTGTGTGTGTGCGCGCACGCCTGTGCCTGGAAGTCATGGTGACCTCTGGTGACTCCTACTGGGGCACGGAGGATATTCGGAGAAGTGGCTTGATGGCCTGCCTCCACCTCCCAACCCTGGTATTCCTTGGAGGTCTCCCATCCAAGTACCGGCCAGGGTCGGCCCTGCTTAGCTTCCGAGCTCTGATGAGAGCGGGCTCACCTGGGCTATCCGGGTCAGGGCTCAAGCATTAGGACTTTTAAGAGGCTTCCGCTAAGAGGCTTTCCCCGGTCAGCTTTGCAAAGCACTAGCCCCGGTTCTTTGCCAGGCTGGGATGGTGGGAGCTCCCAGGAGGGAGGGAGGGAGGGCAGGGCCCCCAGAACTACTAGAACAGCTGGGCGATGATGTCGGAGAGACTTTCTCATGCCTGCAGTTCCCCTATTTGGCCAGTCCTGAGTGGTGGCGCCCAAGAGACGTCCCCATCTAACCCTTGAGACCAGGAGGAATATTGACAAAGGGCGGGATCTCTTTTCCAGGGCCCCGACAAGATCACTGGAGTGCGTCAAGGACACAGGGCCAAACCGTGCTGCCCTACCACTTCCAGGTATCTCTTTCTCATGTTTGTCCCACCCTTTCTCTATGCACAGTTCCCCCCCTCTTCCGGTTTACCCTCACAACAGCCCTGCAAAGTAGGCTAGACCCGAGAGAGAGTGGAAATGGGAACCCAGGTTGCCACAGTCCTAGTCGGATGCTCTAAGCCACTCTCCCAGACTGGGACGAGGGAACAGAGATTTTGCAGGCGACGGGTCGATGCACCTCCGGTCTCCCCTTCTCTCTTGGGGGGCAAGCGAGAAGGGCCCGGAGGAAGACGGCTAGCCGGTCAGCACTGCACCGTCCTCTCCCGCAGCTGCACAAAACCATCGAGTCCACGTTACCTCCCCAGGTCTCCTTGTGGATCTTTTTCCACCACACGTAGAAGAAGAGGAGCAGCGCTTGGGTGTTCTGGGAAAGCGTGTTGGCCCAAGCTGACCCGCTGCAACAGAAGAAGAAGAAGAAGAAGAAGAAGAGAGAAGAAGAGATTGGATTTATACCCTGCCCTTCACTACCCGAAGGAGTCTCAGAGCGGCCTACAATCCTTCCCCTCCCCACAACAGACACCCCGTGAGGTAGGTGGGGCTGAGAGAGCTCTCTCGAGGACTGCCCTTGAGAGAATAGCTCTGAGAGAACAAATGACTGACCCAAGGTCACACCGGCGGCTGCATGTGGAGGAGTGGGGAATCAAGCCCTGTTCTCCCAGATTAGAGTCCGCGCTCTTAACCTCTACACCAAACGGGCTTTATAGAAGGACACAGGAAATTAACACTGGCTTTTTTGGATTTGACTTTGGTGTCATTTCTGAAGCTAAGCGGGGCACGCAGTGATAAGTCTAGACAGAGCAGAAGAGTTGAACGCCATCGTCCGGGAGAGGCACTGGCGAGGGACGGAATCCACAGTGCCCCCCTCGCCAACCAGGGACCATGCCAACCCGATCCTCGGTGACGTTTACTCACAAATATGGGAGGCAGACTGGTTCCCCTTCCAGGAAAACAAGCAGAGGCAGGCAGGGTAAACACACGGAAGGACCAGGGGGGTGAAGCAGGTTCATTTAGCTCAGCGCTGCCCGCCCAAACTGGCAGTGACTTCCTAGCCCCACCCGCCACCAAAATCCCAACTTCAAGCCTCGGCTAATGGGGTCTGAACTTGCTGGATCCTAATAGGGGAAAAGATCTTGGGGTCGTAGTGGATAGTTGAGTGAAAGGGGTTGAGAATAAAATGGCCGATATTTATTTATTTATTAGATTTCTATACCGCCCTCCCAAAGGCTCAGGGCGGTTCACAAGCGGCAAAGCCGGAATCTAAAATACAATAAAACACACAATAAAATACAATATTTAAACCACAATAAGCAACCTAAAAC